GAAGACGAGGCGAATATTCGACGTGTCGGTGGCTTGAGTAAGGCTGCGCACCGGTGAGGTTAGGTACAGGACAAGGGCTTTTTGAAAACAAACAAAGGAAGAAGTAATTAAGGTATGCTTTTCCTATACATACTGAGGATAAAGATTCAAATGCGCCCGGTTAACTTGGTTAAATCTCCAGAGCAAGTATTTGGCGGCACGGTTGACGTCGTTTCCGCCAGAGTAATCGGGGAAGTATTTATTCAATGGGGACCGGTCGAGTTTTTGCCGGAAGAGGTCGACCTTATTTAAGAAGAGAATTATACTCGTTCGCATAAACCATCGGGAATTGACAACGGAATCAAAAAGCACTAAACTCTCCATCATGCGGTTCTTTCGTCAAGGTTAGACCCAGGAAACAATCGCAACAGAGGTAACGCGAGGAAATGAGGGTCATCGCATACTTGATTACTTTCTTCTAGTAACATTTGATCATACTCGCTCAATGCGACGCAGAATATTATGGAGGTTACGTTTTCGAAGCAGTGAATCCACTTTTTCCGTTCACTCCGCTGCCCGCCAACGTCGAACATGCTAAAAGATATACATATTAGGGCCATGTTCCGGCAAAGTAGGGGTTATACATTTAAACGCACTGAATACTCAATTGGCCCATTGTGAATCTCGTTTCATAAATACCAGTTGTCTTTGTTCTAGCGCGCAACACATCGGCTTCATTAGGTATGTAGTCGGGCGCAGTAATACGTTTGGCTTCCTCGAAGAAGCTGAGAATGGTTAGAACATCGCAAAGCAAAGACTCCAATGAAAAGGGGGAGGGCATACTAAGGTGCTGAATCCATGAGGTAGAACTCGTTCTGGTGTTCGAGCACGGATGGCATTATAGGATCATTCCAGAGATATGTCACGGCTTCACCCACTTTCGGATCTATTGGCGTATTCGGGTCCGCGTCAATCTGGTATGAACTGAGATACTCTATATAATCTTTGACTTTGGTGCTGGATGGCTGTAAGTCGAAATGATGTAAAGCTCCTATCAGGTCCTTGGCGCAATCCAATAGATTTTTGTAGACTGTTGAACGGCACAAGGTAAGTTCTTCGACAGAATATCCGTTCTGATGGATAATTTTCATCTGCTTTACGATCGTCGATTTTCCGCTCTCACCCGAACCTGTAATGACCGTCAGAATATATCCTCTGTATACACATCTACAGACACACAGACACTCAGCGGAGTGCAAAGTTGGTAAGTTGGCAAGGCCAATGCACCCGTGACTGGGGGTGAAGAAGAAAGGACGGTAATGACAGACCAAGCAGTAGGATCTTGCATTCTCTCCGTAATCGTTTTGAATCATCCTCGAGCCCCTTGTCAATCATCTGGCTTCTCTTCCTCTGCTCTGCATCCTCCCCAGAAGCAGAACTGCAACACCCGCCCATCCTATCTGATATCGAATGCTTCTACTAACAGGGCGAACAATATAGCCTTAATACGCCAACCACACAACAGGAGAGAGATGTAAGGCGTCTCTAAGGATGTACGGAGACGACACGCCTGATTATAACCTCGAAACAAAAT